CGAGGATGAAGGGTGGGCCGCGAAGGGCGAGGTCGTCAAAGTTTGGGTATTCAGCGAGGGCGGGGTGGGCCCGGCAGCGGGCGCGGGCAATGGCAATACTGTACTTACGTCCGAGTGGGCGGGCACGGCGTAATTACCCTGGATGGTGTAGGCTTGCCCACCAGCCAGGATCAATGGCCCACCAACTTGGGGTTTGGGGCGATAAGGGATCGTGGCACCTTTGGGAGGGGACTGAAACAGAAAAAATAACACGCACGAGTGCGAATACACCGGTCAACATCACTGACAGTGATTGCTTTTTGCTGCTCCTTCTTGCCTGGATTCGAGTGCTAGTTCGGGGGGGAAATGGTTTATCACCCTGGTCTACGGTTTCTGGACCTAACACGTTTGCTGGGCCGCTTTTTTGGGCAATTTCAGTTTTTTACTTTAGGTTGTATAATTACGGTGGAAATGGTATGATAGACTTAAAGAAAATTGCGGTAGAGGAGAGAGATAATTAAGAGGTCTTCAGTTGGTGTTTATGGGGATATAGTAATAAAAGCTCTAGAAATTAGAAAATTGGAATATAAAAATACATTAGCTGGAGACTTTAAGTTTGGTAATTTTATGGAAAAAATAGTTGCAAAATTTTTTGGAAATTAATTTATCTAAAATTTAAAGAAATTGATAGGAAATACTGCGACAGCAAACGTGTTGAACAGGTACTCTAATGATAAACTGATCAAGAAGCTAATTTCTTTGTATTCTGAAATATTTTATATTATATACGTTTGGTTGGCACACGAATTAACAGAATTCATATTACATTCTTGTATAATTTTACAAACAATTCTAATAAAAATTTTACAAAACAAATTGTCAGACTTTCCTCGCTGGTTTCGATAAAATTTGACAAGGTGACAAATCTATAGGTACCTGAAGACTTTGATAAAATTGATAGGTACTTGTAAACTTAAATAATTTCAATGGGTAACTGAACACTTAATTAGGTACCTGATGATCTACATGTATAACATGGGTACCCGAAAATCTACACAGATATCAGAGGTACCTGAAGATCTACAGATATCATAGGTACTTGAAAATCTACTCAGATATAGGTACTTGAAGATCTACACAGATATCTTAGACATCTGAAACTCCATGTAGGTGTATAAAGGTACTTTAAGAAACTTACACATATTCAAACATGTACTTGGAGAAATTGACATACGTTCAAATAGGTACTTTAAGAAATTTATATAGCAAACATTTACCTTAAGAAACTTGCACAGATTCAAATAGGTACCTGAAGAAATGTACACAGGTTCATATAGGTACTAATAGAAATATGCATAGGTGTAATTAGGTACTTCAAGACTTCAATAGAAACCATAAGCATCTGAAGGAGGATTTACATAGATGCAATAGGTACCTTAAGAAATTTACGTAGGTGTACGCAGGAACTTCAAGAATGCAACAGATGCAATAAGTATTAGAGGAAACCTAATAAGGTGGTATACGTAGCTGGGAAGATGTGCATAGGTGCAAATAGATACCTGAAAAGTCTGATAAATACTATAGGTATTTGAGGAAACCTACACAGATGCAGTAGGTTCCTTAACAAATTTACATAGGTGCAAATAGGTATCTGACGAAAGTTACCACATTCAGATAGGTAAGTAAAGCAGCAGGTACCATAGGTATATACCTATATATAGGTTATATAACCTACATAGTATAATAAATATCTGAAGAAACTAACATAAACTAACAACAGTACCAGAAAAGACAAAGGTACGTAACCTCTATTTTCAAATAACATCCAAAATATATTGCTCCACACCTTCAACACATTTTCCTCGAGATCAAGTACCTAACTATACCTAGCCTTGCACTTTCAAACCTAAATCACCTCATCAAATTTTATCGAGACTCTCAAATATCAAGTTTGACATTTCCACTTTGAAATCCTAAGACCAGGGTGATGTGAACAAGAGGACGTACTGGCCAGGTACGTACCTCTAGCATAACACAGCAGATGTGATATATGCACTGCGTGATTGCCTCACTGGTGCCTGATATGGTTACTGCACGTTCCGTCGAATTGGGCAGCATCTCAGAGGCAACCTGAATCGAGGCACCGGTCACTTCACGGATCTCCTTGATCTTGGAACCACCCTTGCCGATGAGGGAACCACACTGAGACGCTGGGACGATCAACCTGAGCGTAATCGGTGGCCTTGGTACACCACCTCCGCTCTGGATGTCGTGGAACTGAGAACACCATTCCTCGAATTTCTTGCATATCAAGGTGAACGCTTTGAAGATCGAGTTTGTTGGCCCGGTCACAGTCACTATTCGCTCTGGACACGAACCGTCCGAGATGTTGATCTTCGCGCCCGACTGCAAACAAAATTTATTGGTAAGTAAATGGTTTAGTTTATATTGGATATGTAGAGATTTTTAAATGGGCAGGATGAGATATTTGGAAATTCGTGCGTGTTTGTACTACTTAATTTTTGGAAATGGGTTTTGCAAGTTTCGAACTGCAGAAGGCTCAAATTCCTAAATTAGGAATTTTCAAATTTGTACATGGTATGTTTTCAAATTTTGAATTGTAAAATTTGAGAATTTATAGTTTCTGAATTTTCAAGTTTTGGATGGCAAAATTCTCAAATTTTATAACGGAAAATTGTTAAATTTGTAACCTGCAAATTTTCAAATTTCTAATTGGTACATAGTCAAATTTGTGATTTAGGAATTCTCAAATTTCTAACTTAAGAATTCTCAAATTTATATCTTGTAAATTTTAAAATTTGCAATTACAAAATTCTCAAACTTATACCTTTTGTATATTTTCAAGTTTTTAGTTGCAAAATTCTCAAATTTATACCTTGAAAACTTATAAATTTTTGTTCACAAAATTCTCAAATATTTAATTGGTAAATCCTTATTTTATAACTTCTAAAATTGTTAATGCGAAAATTATCAAACGGACCTTTCATTAATTTACAAAATTTATTAAAGCTGAAATTTTCAAAACCTCAAAATTTAAAAAAATTTCAGAAACGTCTTCAAAATCTCAAATTTTAGAAAGTTCAAACTTGTAAAATCTCAAAAATTTCAAAACCTACAATTTCTGAAATTCTTCAAAATTTCAAAACCTAAAATTTCTGAAATTCTTCAAAATGTCAGAACCTTAAACTCCAAAATTCTTCCAAATTTCAAAACCTTAAATTGCAAAATGCTAAATTTTCAAAAAACTCAAGTTTCCAGTCACAAAATTCTAAAAAATTTCAGAAACACAAATCTTCAAAATCTCAAAAATTTCAAAACCTAACATTTCCAAAATTCCTCAAAATTTTAAAAGTTTAAATTTTCAAGACCTCAAAAATTTGAATAACCGTAAAATTTTCGAATTTTCAAAGGCTCAGTTTCCAAAATCTCAAAATTCTAAAATTCCAGTGTCTCAAAATACCCCAAAAATCTCAAAACACTAAATTCACAAATATTTAAACTTGCAAGTACTTTTTAGTACTAAAATGTTCACAAACACTTATTAATATCAAAAATTATTAAAACCAAAACATTTACAAATATATTTCTCAATCAGTACGAAAATATTTCCAAGCATTCCTTTATGCAGAAATGCTCATAAATATATTCCTTACTACATAATTGTTCAAACCACAAAATGCCCCTATAGATAAGTGCAAAGCAAAATTCAGTGTAGCTAAACGACGCCTTTTTCCAGCTGTGCAACGCGTTATTTATAGTTCCGCCTCACTGTGCACTGTCACGTCATTATCATTGCCTGATAAATGATAATCACAACGGTGTTTGTCGTATTTTCCAACGACTGATAGAGCCACAACTGCGTTCCTCCGCGCTCGAGCGATTAAATACCGGACAATGGAAGTTGAATTAAACTCCAACCAACGAATACACGTTATTGTTCAAAAACTGCATTAATCTGACCGTGAATCAAAGCTACCATCCTTTTTGTTACAATATTTAATTCCAACCACTTTACATTCATTTAACACGTATCAAATTAAAAAATACGTCACGATTATCAAAAAATATTTAAACTTGTTAAAATATGGAACGTCATTTGAAGCTTCATTCTTCGGAATTTTTTTAGAATTTTGAGATTTTGGAAATTTGAGTTTTTTGAACATTTAGGATTTTCAAATTTAAGGTTCGGAAACTTTGGAGAATTTTGAGATTTGCAAGTTTGAACTTTCTAAAATTTCAGATTTTGAAGCTTTATGCTTTTGAAAGTTTTTAGAATTTTGAGATTTTGGAAATTTGAGCTTTTCGAACATTTAGGATTTTCAAATTTAAGGTTTTGAAACTTTGGAGAATTTTGAGATTTTGCAAGTTTGAACTGTCTAAAATTTGAGATTTTGGAAATTTGAGTTTTTTGAACATTTAGGATTTTCAAATTTAAGGTTCGGAAACTTTGGAGAATTTTGAGATTTTGCAAGTTTGAACTGTCTAAAATTTGAGATTTTGGAAATTTGAGTTTTTTGAACATTTAGGATTTTCAAATTTAAGGTTCGGAAACTTTGGAGAATTTTGAGATTTTGCAAGTTTGTACTTTCTAAAATTTCAGATTTTGAAGTTTTATTCTTCTGAAATTTTTTAGAATTTTGAACTTTCTAAAATTTGAGTTTTTTAACTTATTAAAATATTTAAAAAAATTAACTAAATATTTTACGCTAAAAGATGATTTTTTGATTGAAGGCAATATGTAAATGATATACGATGTATTTTCATTTGAATGAGCTCTTTAATATAATGGGAGACAAAAAAGATCAGATTTTATTTTAAGAGATTACAAGCGTTTATTTTCTAAGCCAGGACAATGTATTTTTTGTTTATCGTGCAACAGGGGCCACTTCATACAACGACCCGTGAATGTAGGTCATTGGAAGTTATTTTAAATCTCTTTGTTCTAGTAGCCTTATACGTTTTAACTACCTGGTGAATCAGTTATGCAGGTTAAAATATTAAGCGTGTGTTGATTGGGTGAATGTGTGTTTGTGAGCTATTCAAGGATGGGAGATATTGGGTAATGGGAAATTTTTCCATAAACAGATTTTTTTTACTCGTTTTTCTAATGTTAATATATTTTTTAATGTTAACATTTTTTTCAGTGTTATCATTTTCTAATGTTGATAAAATTTTTTAATGCTAACATTTTTTTTATTGTTATCATTTTTTAATGTTAGTATATTTGTTTTGAACGTTTACATTTTTCAAGGTTAATATATTTTTTTAATGTTAACATCTTTTTTAGTGTTCTCATTTTTTCAGGTTAGCATATTCTTTTGAATGTTAACATTTTTCAATGTTGATATATTTTTTGAGTGTAAACATTTTTTAATTTTAATATTTTTTTTTTAATGTTAACATTTTTTAATTTTAATATATATTCGTATATAACTGACTAATTAGAAATAAATAATATATGTATGATAATTGAATGTTAAATTATTGTAAATTAATTCATAGTCTAGAAGATTAAGTTATGGTGCAAATTATTGAACTTTGAGATTTAGAAATTTGGTAATTTAGAATTTTCAGATTTTCAAATTACAAAAACTTTGAATTATTGAGTTATCAAGTTTTTTTTATTTCAAAATCAAAAATTTGGAATTTCTGTATTTCCAAATTTTCCAAGTTCCAAGCATGAAACTTAAATTTAGAAAAATTCTGAAAAGCAGCACATTTAAAAATTTTTTAATTCAGAAATAAATTTCTTGTCTTCAAGACTTCAAATTTTCAAAGCTGAAAATGAGGAAATATGAAAATTGGAAAATTCAGAAAATTAACAAACTTGAAAATTCAGAAAATTAGGAAATCTGAAAATTCAGAAAATTAGCAAATTTGAAAATGTAGAAAATTAGCAAATTAATAAATAAATATCTCATCTCCAAAAAGTGAAATTTCAAAACTTCAAAATCTCTGAGTCATCAAAGTAAAAAATTTTCAACTTTCAAAAAATTTAATAATTTCCCAATATAAAAAATTATTGCAAATAACTAATTAATACCTTAAAAATTAGTGATAATTTAGTGAAATAATTGACAGTAGCATGAAAATTAGAAATTTCATATAAGTGTACACGGAGAAGATGAAACGACGTATAATATCAATAAAGTGTGAAAATGACCCGCGTTTAATATCACGTGTGCGTCACGCTTAATTAAGTCCCGTGTACCGTAAACTAATACACTGTAAAATCGCGCGGACATGGCGTTACGAGCGAAGCAATTATTAAAGTACTCTCTGTTCTAAATCAACCGCTCGGTCATCTTGCCTCGATGATGATTTTATCGCGAATTAAGGACGGTGTGAATACTAAAATAAACTTTGTATTCATCAGTGAAGCGTAATCGCAATCGTAATTACAATCATGGATGAAATTTCCTCTTTTAAAATGGGATGTAACTTTTATTTTTGAAAAGTATATTATTTGCAAATTTCGAAACTTTTAATATACAACTAATTAGTTATTTCATATTCTTTAATTTAATATAGCTAATATTATTTTGGTAATATTTCTTTTGTTATATAACAAATTTATTTTCTTTTTATATTTTTAGGTGTTTATGAAACATTGATTTTTGAAACATTAAAAATTTTAAATAAACTTGATGATATAAGTATAATAAAATAGTACTTATGATACATCAATTTAAAGCTTGAAGTCTAGTAAAAATAACTGCATAAAAATCTAGTCAGTGTTTTTAATACAAAATGGCTGCTGAATAGTTATAGCAAACAATGACTGATTTCAAGACACCAATAATCTTATTTAATTTCATGACATAAAAGTATTATAAAATAGTACTTATGATACGTCATTTTAAAGCTTGAGATCTAATAAACATAACTGCACAAAAAACTCGTTAATGTTTTTAATACAAAATGGCTGCTGAATAGTTATAGCAAACAATGACTGATTTCAAGACACCAATAATCTTGTTAAATTTCATGACATAAAAGTATTATAAAATAGTACTTATGACATGTCAATTTAAAGCTTGAAGTCTAACAAAAATGACTGAATAAACAATTCATAAATATTTTTAATACGAATTCACTGACTGTCAGAAAATCTTACTGACTCTACAAAAACGAATGTGGTTATTTAATAGTCAACAAGCGAGAAATGTTAAAAAGATATTTATATCATTACTTTTAACACATATTAAGTTTTAAATTTATATATAATAAAAATTACTTTTGGGTTAGCTTTATGTCATCAAATCGTGTTAGACTATAAAGAGTCTAAGAAAGGCAATTGTTTGCTTTGTCTCACAGGCAGCCATTTTATATTTAAAAAATTAATAAATAGTTTACGTAGCAATTTTTGCTGAACTTTAAGCTTTAAATTGATGTATCATAAGTAATATTTTATGATAATTTTATGTCATATAAATATATCAGACTTTAAAGATCTTGAAATCGATCGCCATTTGCTGTAACTACCAACCAGCCATTTTTTACTCTAAATATTAATAAATAGCTTATGTACTACTGCTTAGTGAACTCTAAGCTTGAAATTGATATATTATAAGTTAGTATTTTGCAATAATTTTATGTCATTAAATTATATTAGATTTTGAAGGTCTTGAAATTGCTCGCCATTTGCTTTAACTCTCAAGCAGCCATTTGGTATTCAAAATATTAATAAACAGCTTGTGTAGTACTGTTAAGTGAACTCTAAGCTTGAAATTGATATATCACAAGTTACTATTTTATTCTAATTTTGTGTCATAAAATTGTGTCAACTTTAAAGATCTCGAAATCGATCGCCATTTGCTTTAACTGCCAACCAGCCATTTTGTATTCAAAATTTTAATAAAATAACTTATACTGAAATTTTCGTTGAACTCCAAGCTTTAATTTGATATATCATAAGCTACTATTTTATAATAATTTCATGTCATAAAATTGTATCAGACTTCAACAACCCTGAAATCGATCGCCATTTCCCATAACTCCCAAACAGCCATTTTGTATTCAAAATAATAATAAACAGCTCACAAGCAATTTTCCTCAAACTCCAAGCTTTAATTTGATACACCATAAACACTATTTCGAGAAACTTTTATGTCACCAATTAACGTCCCTTTCAATAAATCGAAATCATTGTTCTCTATAACTGGCAAGCGGCCATTTTGTACAGCAAGCGCTACCAAAGCTAAGTGATATTTTCTGTCACACTAAGCTCCGAACTGATATTCACAAGTACCGTTTTATGGTACTCATGTCACCAAATTGTGTCTCACTTTCTATTTTCGTGATGTGACATTTCAAATGCATAAAGTTGATACAATGTTGAAGATAATGAACATTGAAGCGTATCGCTATAACGAAATACATGTTAATGGCAGAAACTGGACACCCGACTATATATATTTGTCAATATTTTAATAGAGACACCGGATGATTAAGCATGACTGTGCAGTACAAAGCGTGAAACTTTGAAACACGAGATTAGGGGGCGGTGACGAATATTTTCGACAAATAACTGTCACTGAATGATTATCAAAAACAGTGATTCACGATGAAAGCGTGGTCAGTCACACTAACTAAACTTTCTGTAACGACTTGTTGTGTGGAACGAGAAATTGGTGGAATCGTGAACAAACAAATAAAATTTTTATGAATAGATTGCTCTATTTATTTATTATTTCTTCTATATATTTATTTATTTACAGGATATTGAATTTTTGTGGAATTTGCAATGGACAATTTGAGCTCATTCAATTATGTAAATGTAGTCTGCTTCATGTACAATAAACTCGTATTTTGTAACATAACAATTTCATCTCGCATGTTATGATATAATAATAATTTGAATGCATATGTTATATGATAATAATTTAAACTCGTATGTTACAATACAATAATAATTAAATTTTGTATGTTGCAATATAATAATAATCAAAACTCGTATGTTATACTAATTTTTCTTTTATGAGGCAGTAATTACATCCACAGAAATAATATTTTCAAACCTCATTTTTGTTTGTAAAAATCAAATGAGAAATTTAAATAATAAAATTGTTAATCAGTATATTTAATGTATTATAAAAAATAAAATTTTATTAATAGATACATTTAATTTAAAACAAATTTAATTATATATAATTTCAATTTTTAATTCTAATTTAATTAAAAATTTAGCATCTCTTTTACAAAAAATACTAACATTTAAAATTCACCTTTTTCGATAAATAAACCAAGGTATACCTTCCTCAAATTTTTTGGTAAATAAAGAAATATAATAATATTAATTAAAAGTGTATTAATTACCTCTTCGCGGAACCTCTTGACGATTTCTCCTTTCTTCCCAATGATACTACCGACCTCCTGTAACACAAATAACAGAATACACGTTATTATAATACAAAGATACCATAAGTTTCAGTAGGGAGAAACGTAATAGAAACCGTAAACCTTTGAATAGGCTTGATTATGCTTATGAGTTACTATGCTACGTGGAACTGGTCGTAAATATCAGCCGCTTTAAAGCCACCTAGTGCACTCGCTCTAATGCAGCTTTTCGATAAATTAGTGGATTTACAACAGTTTGGCCTAGTGATAAATTTTCACGTATATCGGAACATAATGATACTGCCTTATTTTCTCGATATTCGAACGCGAGTGGTGCAACGTCCTCGATTTTCGGAGATTCGGATATTTTCGGGTTTACAATTTTGGGAGTTTGCAATTTTTGTATTTGGCAATTTTGGGATTTTTGATATTCAAGATTTGGGATTATAAGATTTGGAAATTGGTTCACTTTGGAACAATGGAATTTTCAAATTTTTTAGTTTCAAAGGAATTTTTGAATATATTCAACCATATGTGTGACATATATAACATATGTGATATGTAAAAAGTATGTAACATGAGTATCATATATGTCAAGTGTAACATATGTACTTTGTGTAATATTCATGTATGACATTTATGACAATGTGTAACATATGCAACATGTATGATATGTATAACAATATATAACATATGTAACATACATAGCATGTGTAACATGTATAACAATGTATAACATGCAACATACATAGCATGTGTGACATGTATAACAATGCATAACATATGCAACATACATAGCATGTGTGACATGTATAACAATATATAACATATGCAACATACATAGCATGTGTGGCATGTATAACATATATCACGTGTGGCATATGCAGCATACATAACATATGTAATATACATATAACACCTACAACATGTATACCATGTAAAATATGTGTAGTAAGTATGACATGTATAACATGTGTAACATATGTAACATATACGACACGTATAACACACGTATCACACATAACATGTATAACATACATAACGCATATAACATGTCTAACATATACAACATCTACAATATACCATGCAGAACATGTGTAGCAAGATGTACAACACGTATAACATACGTAACTTGTGGCACACGTGTACCACGTATAACAAGTGTAACATATGAACCTGCGTACACGCCTAAATAAATCCGTAATAAAGAAATATTTATTCCTAACCGAAATGTCAAACAAAATGGCGAGGGTGAGTGCAAATCAGTGTCCCGAAATAGGCGGAAAAACGTCTAAATCCGTTTAGCCGTCGAAAGATCCAGCCGCGCAGGAAGAACGTTTGGATTTGTTCGACGTTTGTCGCATCTGAAAATGAAGAATTTAGCACGATACGGCGTCGTCTGTGTCGTGAAACGAGATGCCTGGCATCTCGGTCGATGTAGGCAGCCACCATCTAAGTTTAGAGGAGCACACGAGTGGCATACCTGCTCGCCCAGAAGCCTCGAGCGGTGACATTATCGTAGGGTCAGAACGTGTCAAGGAAGATACGAGATCTAGCTGGCTGGACATCGAGTACCAGCACACACGACTAATTATAGGTACGAGTGGAGAGAATGTCTCGTCGAGAAAACGTCCACTCTGTTGTGACCGTGCTCGAAACTGCCTCGAGACTTTGTTTCGCGATGATGGATCGCTGAAAATCAACGCTGACACTGTTACACCCTGATGAACGCGAGGAATCTTACTTCCAATTCGGAGACGTTCAACGTTTGAATAGATGCATTTTAGATTACTGATTCAAACGGTGAATTTGGTGAAATATGAGAGATATGAGATATTAACACTCGAAGGTGCAAATTTTGGTAGAAACTCTAAACCTTGCTAGCTGAAAAGACAGTCAATTGGATAAATTAGTGAAAGAGTGAATTGACGCTGCATAAAATCAGTAATTATTCATTTATGCAGTAAGAAGTAATTAAAGAAATTGATAGTCGGTAAAAGTATATCGTATTTTGTTAAAAATATATTTAAAAGTAATTTTATAATAATACAAGTGTTCAGGATGTCAATTTTTACAAAAGTTGTAAAAATTCAAAGTTATGAAACTTTTAGAATTCTAAAAATTTTAAAAATCAAGAATCCAAAAGGTTTATTAAATTTTCGAAATTCCCAAATGTTTAAAATTACAGAATTCTAAAAATCTAATTTTCAAATCCTGAAATTCCAACAATGAAAATTTCCCAAGTTCCAAAGTACCAAATGCCAAAATCCTCCAAATTCTAAAGTCACAAAAATGAAAATTCTTCAAATCCTAAAGTCCCAAAAATACAAATTCCCCAAATTCTAAAATCTGCAAATCCTAAACTTCCAAAAATAAAAATTCTCTAAATTTTAAAGTACCAAAAGTCAAAATCCCCCTAATCCTAAAATCCCAAAAATAAAAAATCCCCAAATTCTAAAATTCCAAAAGCTAATATCTCCCAAATCCTAAAGTTCCAAAAACCAAAATTCCCCAAGTCCTAAAATTCCAAATATTAAAATCCCCCAAATCCTAAAGTTCCAAAAATGAAAATTTCCCAAATCTGAAAGTTCCAAAAATGAAAATTCCCTAAATTCTAAAACCCCCAAATCCAAAAATTCCAAATGCTAAAATCCCCCAAATCCTAAAGTTCCAAAAATAAAAATTCTCCAAATCCAAAAGTCCCAAATACCAAAATCCCCCAAATCCTAAAGTCCCAAAAACGAAAATTCCCCAAATCCCCAAATCCTAATTATCAATGTCCCAAAACTCAAAATTTAAAAAAAATTTGTCTCAAACTCCCAAAAACCCAAGCCTCAAAAATTCAAAAACACTCCATCTTCAAATCCCAAATCCACCCAAAATCTAAAAAAAAAATGCGAAATTCTCAAATACCAAATCTTGAAAGATTCCAATATTAAAGTCTCAAAATATACCTAACCTTTATCAAGTATAAAATACTCTCACTCAAAATTTGGATCGCAATTAAACTCGGCTTCCAAGTAGGAATCGCTAATAATTTCGATTAATTTTAAATACCTCTCGAAGGCTGAAGTAATACCGTGAGCTCTTTTGCAACGAGTTCTGGGAACAAGTGAATTTTAGACTTTGGACTTATGGCAAGAGAGTTGGAGGGTGTTAGCGAAAATGGACCGTCTCTAGTCAGAGGCGCGCAGCCCGCGTCCCATAAGATACACATTTTATCCCACCCTCTCTCGTAACTTCTGACGAGCAAATTACCCTTAAAACCGTCCTAAGAGAAAGTTCATAGAATCCGTGGATCCGATAGCGTGCATATGCAAAAGATGAACTTACTCGGTGTATAAACTGTTGAATCAACAGTGAATCAAGTTGGCGGCCGGCCAAATGCAACGCGCTGAATCCGAGTCCAAAAAGTCAAATTTAAGGCCGATAGTTACACTTGCTATTTCATACCATTAGCGTAATATTAATAATACTTTCGAACCCATCGCGGAATATCGATTTAAATACACGGTGCTCGTGTGTTTCGCAACTATTATATTTTTAGTGTTACGTACCTAGACCTAGAAATAGAGGTGCTGCTATCGATTATCGATATCTGATCGGTAGTTAATAATATATCGAGAGTATCGTTAAGATTTATTGGAACGAGTGAGGTGGACGTTAATGCGCTAATTTATTATTCTGTCTCGAGTGCAAATTTAACCTAATTGATGTCTAACCTATGTTAGGTACGAATAGACTTAAATAATTAAATACTTCAAGGTGATTAAAAGTTACTGAAGTTAAATTTAATGTGGAATTTTATTTTTATTTATTTATTCTTGAACCTAACCTAAATTAGCTTAATTATGTTAAAATTAGATTAGGTTAGGTTTGATTAAAATTATGTTAGGCTAAGTTAGAAACAAATTAGATTACATTATATTAGAATACGTTAGGTTTAATCAAAACTTGATTAGGTTAGGTTAGACTACAATTAGCTTACATTTGACCAGGTTAGGTTCAATTTAAATTTGTTTGAATTAGAGTTAGATTAAATAAGCCATGGTTAGGTGAAGGTTAGGTTACGTTAAGACTATCAATTGGGAGTTATGTTAGGTTAGAATTATTATTTTAGTGTTAGGTTAAATTAGGACTATCAGTTTAAGGTTAGGTTAAATAACAACAATTGATTTGAAGTTAGGTTAGATTAGATTTATTAGTTTAGGGTTAGGTAAAATTAGGACAATTAATTTCAGGTTAGGTTAGATTAGAGCTATTAGTTTAGGGTTAGGTTAAATTACGGCACTTAATTTCAGGTTAGATTACATTAGGGTTAGGTTCAATTTAGACAATTAATTTTAAGTTAGATCAAATTAGGACTATTAATTTGAAGTTAGGTTAAATTAAGACGATTAATTTCAGGTTAGGTTAGATTAAGAATTTAGAGGTAGGTTAAATTAAGACAATTAATTTTAGGTTAGATTAGATTAGGACTATTAGTTTAAAGCCAGGTTACTATAAGCCAAATGATTTTAATCTCTATATGTAATGCATAATTTTGTCATTAAAAAATGTTAACAAAGTTAAAGCGAATTATCGATACTTCACTTTATTATGTATATTTCTATATTTTCTGACAACGTTTATTCAATGTAGCTTTTGTTATAAAAAATGTTATTAAGAATTAATTATTTAGAGGGTATAAAATATCTTACATAAAATGCCTTACAGGAATATGGTACACATCATATAAAAATATCTTACAGGACACATTCTACACAAAATATTTGATGAAAATTATTTTAAGAAAAATGTTACAAGAAACATCTCATATAAAACGTGCAGAATCTTACGTAAAATACGTTGCATATCTCATAAAAATGATCTTAAACGAAACATATTTCATAGAAATATCTTCTAAAAAATATCTCGCAGAAAACATCTGAAAGCAGCTATCTGACACCGTATCATTTCCGTCGGCAAAATGCAAGTTACATTTTACACGCCGTGGGTATCTCCCCGAGGCGATAAAGAGCAGAATTTTTGCAGAG